CTAGTAGCGACTTATATATATATATATATATATATATATATATATATAAATAAACAAATCCTTAGAGGTACAAAATCTGTATACTGTTTTAAAAACAACGAATGTATTAATGTTAATAATCCCTAAGGCTCTTTCGACCAACATCTCATCAGGAGAAAATCGTTGGAAAGATTGAAAAATTAAACGAAAAGAACAACGAAAATGAAGAGCAAAAAAAGGGGGAAATCCGCTAAATTCAATAACATATAAGTATATATACTTATAACGAGGGGAGGGGGGATCGCGTGTAAATAATTGCCGAAGGACAGTTAAAATAACAAATTACCAAGCATAGAAGGTTAAAATAATCCTATAAAGATTCCAAAATCTTCAAATGTTTTGTTAGAACCGGATATGTGAATATATATATAATATTTATATATATATATATATATATAAATATATATTATATATATTTATATATATAAATGTTTAGAATATATACCATATATTTATATATTTATATATATATATTATATTTATATATATATAATATATATATATATATATTATATATATATATATATATATATATATATATATATATATTATATATATATAATAAATTTATATATATTCATTTATATATATATATATATATATATTTATATATATAATTTATATATATATATATATATATATATATATTATATATATATATATATATATATATATATATATATATATATATATATATATATATTTATATATATATATATTATATATATTTATTATAATTCATATATATATATTTTAACATATATATATATATATCAATTTAGTTATAAATATATATATATATTTTTATTAAATTTTTTTATTTTTTAATGTGGTCAAAATGTTTATTTTATTTTTTTATTTTTATTTTTTTTAAGTATTACACTCCGAGCAAGGCGTGAAGCCACTAGGATGCAGGGGGTTGCAGAAGATTTGGAGCAAGAGCAGATAGGAGTGATAGAAGAAAGGATGAGAAAAGGGATAGTGGATAGATCAAGGTAACTGGAGGTGTCGATTGACATTACATTTGAATAGTTGGAGATTATAGCTCTCAGGGAAACAGTAATCGGGAAGGGTGTTCCACAGGTGAGAGGTGCGAGGTATGAAGCTGCTGGAATAGAAGAGACGGCTACATTTAAAAGTTTCTATAGTGTAAGGGTGAGAGCGGGATGCCAGCCTCGTAGGTCGCTTGCATTCATGGAGTCGGGTAACCAGTGAAAGCAGCTCATCAGAGCAATTACCACGGAAGTATTTGTAGAAAAGACAGAGAGAGGCGATGGCGCATCTGTGAGAGAGTGACTGTAGTTGAGACGCCAGATCAGGGCCAATTATATTACATATCCGTCTCTGGATAAAGGATATAAAAACTAATGTAAATGAGCCATTGATAAAAGCTTTCCGAATTTGATTGTTTTGAATTTCTTCGGCGTTTATTGGCCGAAAGTTACAGTCCTTGCTTAGGGTTCTTAATTCTTTTAAGTTCTTCTCCAGCGATTCACCATTTAGTTGACGTCGGGCAGCCAATGTTGCAAGAATATCTCATTCTTTGGTTTCAGGTAAGTAGCTTATAGTATGTCCATGCCCTTCTCATAAGTGCGACAGTCCAGGGTTATTTCATGTACTGTGTGGGATGTATAATTACATAAGACTTGTTCAATGGCCGATGTGGGGGTTTCTGCATGTACAGCTTTTAGGAAGTTTCCGAACGTCATCCGCCAATGCGTCCAGTGCTTTTCAAAGTGTGTAGTATCAGATTCTACGTCGAACCACTGGGGGTGCATTAATTGTTCTATGATGGACAGATTCTTAGTTGAATAAATTGATAAAAGTACGCAGGTGTAGGCTTTAAGAAAGCTTTATTCAACTAAGAATACAAGGTTTGCGTATAGTGTCCTTTTATAGTCCCAGTAAATAGAAGTAGATCTCTCAAAGAGGAGAGTAACAAAACAAGGAGAAACCATTCTTGATTATTCGCAACAGTAAGTTAAATGTGTTTTATCAATATTCATCAATAATATGATTGCCCTCATTTTCAACGATTTGTATCCACCACACGTTGAAAAACCGGTTCCGGTAGGATCACCGAAGTCAAGCAAAGGTGGTCCCGGTCATTTCCAGGTGTTTTAAGCTTGTGGGTCGGGTAACGGCTCGGAAATGTTAGTCGGAGAGTCAAGTTCCAATTTCAGTTGGGTTCGTTATATTAACTTGCACATGCTCTTCGAATCGGTATGAGTACATCTGTTCTCTCTCCAGCTATGGATTAATTAGTAAGATTTGTATAATTCAAACCATTATTATCTTCAAAAGAATTCTTACAGTCTAAAATATTTTCTGGCTTTAATAAACTTTTCAATGATTGTAGCCTAACGGGATGTAATTTTTTCGATTCCATGTTTCAAACTTCTGTTCCTGGTTTCTGCCATTCATGAAATGTTCGAAAAGTATGAAAATTGGTTACTGCGGACAACTGGTGAATATGAAGAATTTGGAAGAACCTTTCATCCAAAGATGGTATTTTCTCGTTGGTTTTAGAGTGTCACTAAGCAAACTAACACCATTTTCTGTCGACAATGCCAATACTTTCGATGCAATACTTCGTTTTACTCGATAAACTTTCTGGTTATAAAGGCCTGCAGCGATGACACTTTCATGTTTCAGTAGCTCGTAATTGACGACAAATTTCCTATGCCACCAGACACAAATCAAGGATTTCAGGAGATGGGGGTCTTGGTCTGATGTTCACAATATTTTCTCATTTTGTAATAACCACTTTTATTTTTCTGTTGAGATGCTGCTGTGGCCTTGTTAGGACCAGAAATAAAGACACAATTAGAAGAATTATATATTGACAGAAACGGTAATACAAACATATACAAATGAGAGTGTTACAGCAAGAATGTTCGGTCCCATTGTCAGAGTTGACTGCTGGAAACTTCCCCAGACAAAACGCAGTACCTGCTCCTATTTATAGCTGGGAGAGTGTATACGTGCGTGGGTAAATTACCTTAAAAGATGCAAAACTCATTTTTCATCACCGGTAACAATTCGATGCAAAAAAGGAAATTTTAGCATTCCATTAAAAAAAAAAATCCCGCAAAAATCCTTCTCGGTGTCTTTAACTGAAATTCCCAAATAAATTTTGAAATACATTCTAAATGTCATATCGTTGTATAGACGATATGATAAACTAATACCAGACGTGGCTTATTATCATTATCAATTGTAGTTCTGCATCGGTTGGTTTTCGCAATTTCAATTGGGTAAAATATGTAATTACCAATCGTCTTCCATAATACCATGAGAAACCAAGCTTTAGGTGACGTCTACGGTGTTTTTCTTTCACTTTTGTTTTCGAATGCTATTTTTCTGAAAGTTTTAAAAACCCAGCAGATGTTATAATCACAGAGTAGAATATATACCTGTTTATTTTCAGTTGAGATATTTTAATACATTTCTACTGCGAAAGTGTGCATTGTTCAACAAACCTGTTGAACTGTACGTTAATACGAACAGCTTCACTTATGACTTCACGTTTATACTCGCCAAGTTATTATATAATACGGATAGTTCATGCAACTAGAATGGAAACTAATGATGTTGTCGAGCTATTAACTCACCGCAGAAAGGTAGGAAAAAAACTCCTCTCATTATTAGAAACAGCGATAATACTTAGGGAGCTTGAGAAACATATTTTTCTGAAAGAACTGTTTTAAGAGAAATATTTTGATAAATTCCAACCAAAACTAATGCTAAATATTCAGTCAATAAAAAATCTTTTTGATATGGAAACGGTCAATCAATTCTAATTATGTATATAATTATCACCATTAAAATATAATCTTCACCATTATCATCTAATTTTAATTTTCTTTTTGATTACCATACACACACACACACACACATATATATATATATATATATATATATATATATATATATATATATATATATATATAAGCAAAATATGGATATAGATCCGACAGTATGAAGAAAAATATATACGGAAAAAACAAACAAAAATCCTTATATACAATTATGCTGTTTTAATGTTAATATGTCAACGTCGGACGTTTCGGTCTAATAAACCATCTTCAGGACATATTCATAAATATAACATTATCAATACAACATGACAAAGACGATGTACATAAGAACAAGACTTATCCAAACAAATAACTAAAATAAATTAATATAAATGAAGAATCATCGCTTGCCTAAAATATTATAATACGGCGAGCTCACGACTGGCTCTCGCAGCAGAGGGTCACCAAAGTAGTGATTCAAAGACTGCCTGAAAAAATCCTTTGGTGCCTGTCACATTAACCATTGCTAATGGTCATCCCTAGCTGAGAACTTGACGCCTGGCGTCTCACCACCAACCATGCTGTCTCCTTCTTTGAAAATACAATAAAAGGTTCGCTATCAAGGACAAGAGGCAAAGGAGGAAGTACTGAAACGCTATGCCGTCAGAATTTCAGCTGCAACTGCTGCGACCATGCATGCCTTTCCCGCATTGGATTTATCATAAACGTGCCTGCAAGTGACGTGTACATACACCCTCTTCGTTTTGCGAAGCCAAACCATGGTTATCTATCTATCTATCTATATATATATATATATATATATATATATATATATATATATATTGATAGTGTGAATATGGGAACGGTCGCTTTATTGTGACTGTCAGTTTTACTCACAAATCGACTTTGATTTGATTGCTTGATACATTTTGACGGCTTATTAACACTTTGCAGGCTATTTAAAGCCAGTAAAATCTTTAGATTGTCAGATTTTTTTTTTGAGATAATAATCATTTAGTGATACAAGACGTACTGATTAACCCATAGCTGTGGGGATCCATGCCTTTCTCAAGGTTATTTGTGCATAAGTAAATACAACGAAACAGACTGGAACTGAATCTCAGATCTCCGTTATCCATTACACCACCCGCACTTCCAATATTACAGCTCGTATTATCCCCAAGGGGTCACTCATCTAGGCACTGACCAAGCTCGATGTTGCTTAACTTCGATGATCGTACAAGAACCAGTGTTTCAACGTGATATGGCCGTTACAATTAGATTTTGATTTGTGGGTAGTGTAAATGAGACATACAACGTTAATTCCTGTTTTATATATATACAAATTTATATATTATAAATTAACCGATTTAGAATGTTTTTTTCGCTACACTGTAATAACCATGTTTCAAAAATGGAATCTCCGTTTCATCCTCAAGCGAATTTTGGAGACTACAAAATTCGCTTGAAATGGAACTAATGTTTTTAATTTAATTACAAAATTAAATTTGAAGCTTTTAGCTTCCATTTTTGAAACATGGTTATTAATGTGTAACGAAAATACATACATATATATATATATATATATAAATGAATGAGTGAAACTATATTCATATGTTGCGGTCACATGTATATCGTCACTCTTACCGTCTAAAGATTTCAGGGAAAAGAACATCAACATTAATGTGTCCACATGAGATCAGAAGTCGCTGAAAATAGAAACATATGTGTATTGTTTTGCTTATCTTTTATATTGGATCTGTTTTGCTTATCTTTTATTCTTTTACATACTGTCTTTCTATCGTCTCTGTGCTTATTATACAAAATATATCGAATTAATAGAAATACAAGTTTTGTTATATAGCTGATTGATGTTACTTTTAGTAGCCCGACTCCAGAGTCCCGTAGACGAACCCTTCGAGAATTACTCTGTCTACTCGTCAGGAGGTAGCAACAATCGACTGCTTATACATCTCGATTTTTTTAATGTACTTTTCATTGGGGCAAGTTTCTTTTGATAGTGTATGCGTGCGTTCTCGCACGTGCGCCCATATGCCCATCTGTGAGGACAATAATCATGACATTCTACACGCACGCACATCGTGCGTGTAGCATGTCATGATTATTGTCTTTTTCGCTGTTTCTTTTTTACTTTACACTCACTTAACCTTTTCTCTCTTTCCCTTCTGCTGTTACCATTTGTCTTCAATTTTTGCTTGATATGACTTTATTATTAATTTTTTGCCAACTATCACACACACACACACACACATATATATATATATATATATATATATATATATATATATATATATATATATATATATATATATACATTAGAAAAGGTTACTGAATGAGGAATAACAAAAACGGCGTGAAGTAGGTTAAATTAAACTGCTTGTGGTGGACTAATTAGACAGCATATTACTCCACTTACAATAGTATCCAACGTATGTATGAGGATTAGAAACATACCCGTTAGTGTTCACAATAGGGTATATATATATATATATATATATATATATATATATATATATATATATATGAGCACACAGTGCGCCAAACGAATATTCGTACACATTTTATTGTATTTGCAAATTATTAAAATACACCTTTAAATGCCGAATCTAGATGCGTCGTCAGTGTTATTTGCTCCCATGTCACTAGAAGTTTCGGGTCTAAATAAACAACAGACTTCTTCGATGGGCGACCCGACCGAATATGATCAGTATTAACCGCACCAGAACAAAAATTTGCCACTAGCTTTAGGACGTGAATTATATGTCAAATACAGTAGACAACAACCAATCAAGACTTTACTTGGGCTATTAGAAATTATAGATTAGGTATGCATGGTTGTATTGATCCTTCTACATTCTTTTGGAAGATTAGAAGAAAACAAACCAATAAATATACTAATAAATATACTTTTCATATAATTAACTGTACACAGATGCATAATAAATAAATATGCATACAAAACAGAAAAAAAAAGTTTGATTTAATAGAAATAAATCCTATTTATCCATTTTAATGGGTGAAAAAATATTTGTACAATATAAAAAATGTCTTCAATTAATAGTTTCGAGAATAGCCATTATTCACTGCTACAGCAATTCTTGTAATTCTCAATTAATGATTTGCAAATTTTAGTTGGTATTTTGTTCCATTCTTCTACGCATATCATCTTCAGATCCGGAATATTTGTTGGAGTTCTCGATTGGACGAGAATTTTCAAATAACGCCACAGATTCTAGATTGGTTTTAAATCTGGGGACTGACTTGGCCATTTCAAGATATTTACATTATTTTCAGCAAGCGATTTCTTCGTAGATGTTGCAATCTGCTTAGGATCATTACCTTGTTGGAAGATCCAATTTCAAGCTTATCAACTGAAATCATTAAATTTGATCCCAAAATATATTGATATGCTTCAGTATTCATTCTACCATCTATAACTAATATATTACCAGCATTTCTTGTAGAAAAATATCACCAAACCATGATTCTGTCACCACCAAATTTCAAATTTTGGAACTGTGTACTTTTATTTGAAAATATCGCCATCTTTCCTCCATACATGATGTCTAGAATTACGTCCAGACAACTCGGTTTTGATCTCCTCTGTCCATAATACTCTTTACCAATACGATTTTTTCTTTTCCTTATGTCCACGAACGAATTTGAACTTGGCATCGTTCTTTTTGCGAATTTGTCAATTCTTGACCTCTTGCCATGAAGATAACCTTCTTGCACGAATATCAATTACAGAATGTTTTGTTTGTATATTTTTAGGCTAAAAACAACTACTGATATCATTATTGGAACATTCTAGAATATTCCACTTGAAAAATCTAGAGTATTAAAGCAATTGAAAATTTTTAAAATCTGAAATTTACAATGTCCGATTACATTTTTTTATACATTAAAATGAATAAATCGTATTTATTTCTATTAAATCAATTTTTTGTGTTTTCTATTACTTATTTATTTATTATGCATCTGTGTACAGTTAGCTATATGAAAAATATATTTATTCATTCTTTGGAAATACCATAAATTAAAAATTTCTATCTGTACGAATATTTGTTTTTCCCCACTGCGTATAAACACTCCATAACCAAAACAGAACTTACTTCTCATATATATATATATATATATATATATATATATATATATATATATATATATGTATGAAATTTTTTCTGATTTAACCAGTAGAGAAGACAATATTTATGAATAAAATTACCCAAATATTAATCTACGCCCAGGTTTTTTCATCATTTCACCTTTCTTAACAAAATTACTGCTCTTACAAACAAATATACACAACAGATTCATAAAATCAAAAGAAAATGGTTGAATACATCAACACAGATATAATGACAATATTCTCCACACGTGACAATCTCTGACGTTATTTTTCAGTTAAAAATATGAAAATACCGTCTCTCTACATTCCAGTTGCTAGGTACATTCTGTTTTTGTTTTTATTAGTTACTTTATTCAATTAATTTCATTTTCGTATTTTGCTTTGATAAAGTCCACATTGGACGAAACGCGTCAGCAATTACCAGTTTTCCTATTGTCATTTTTTATTCATAAATATATATATATATATATATATATATATATATATATATATAAGATCTGACTGTAATTTCAATTTAACGCGTTTAGGTTTAATTAAAAGAGAAAGGCATTTTGAAAGTGCCATAATTTCAGAATGATCTCAGGTAAATTGACGTTCACGATGATAAAACACGCAACTACTAATTTTAATAATTAAACACGGTAACAATTAAAAATAAAATAAGAACAAATGAACTATAATGAGATCGACTATATTAAACATCTAGTTTCACCTTCTTTTATGTTCCGTGTCAGAACTTAGGCGATCATAGCCCTCCACATCTTCCTGTCTCTTACAGGTGTTAATAAGTTTGTCTTTTTCTTATTTCTCCCAAACCCTGTTCCACTATCCATTTACTCAAGTGCATCAAGTATGTTACGTGCTGCTTTCATCTGTCCCTCTTTCCCTCAATCTGTCCTGTAAGTATCCGATTTTCTAAGCCTTCTTTCCTCATTTACCTCCCCCCAGAAATTTCAACTTCCTGTTCCTGACTTTGTTTCCTTTTCGTTTCCATTTTCTCTAAAATCTCGTCGTTGCTCACATATTCGGTCCATGGTATCCTCAGCATCTTTCTGTAGAACGACACTTCTGTCGCTTCAGGTCTCTTCTTCCTCTTTGAGCAGATTGCCCAGCATTCGCCGTCATACAGGAAGACCGATATCACGTAACTGCTCAGTACTCTTTTTTTTTTTTTCGTTTGTAACGAAATTTTTCCGTCAAAGTTTAAAATCAAGCGCCCCTGAATTCTTTCGATGTGAAATTATAACCGAATTTTGCTGAATTTCACTCGCAGCCCCAATATCAACTCTGTTAATAAAATCACTATTAGGCTGAACGTGTTAGTTCTGGGTAATGTTTTGCAGGTAAAGTGGAGTGGCTGAAAGACGCAGACAAACAGTTTGAACATTTAAGGGATTATGTTTGTTATTGGTATCATATTATCGGCATGTATGTGTAATCATTACAATACGTTTTATACGCACGTTTTGTTTTTCAATTTTGTATAACTACTTTTGCAAACCCTGTATAATCTTTATAGTCTTTAAACTAAATTATACATATATATATATATATATATATATATATATATATATATATATATATATATATATATTGTCTTAAAATAATTGTTTGACATTGTCCATTTTCATAATGTGTCTATGTCATTTGTTTATATATATATATATATATATATATATATATATATATATATATATATATATATATATATATATATGTATGTATATTTCAAAAGTCTTTATATATATATATATATATATATATATATATATATATATAAAAAAAAGTATTTATATATAGATATATTTCCAAAAAGTCTTTTATATATATATATATATATATATATATATATATATTTCAAAAAGTATTTTATATATATATATATATATATATATATATATATATATATATTTAAAAAAGTCTTTTTATATATAGATTTCAAAAAGTCTTTATATATATATAGATGTCTGACGATCGCTAAAGCGTGAAACACAGGGTCACAAACTCACATCTATCCAACCAAATATATTATCTCTATCTCTGATATTGAGCGCTTTCTAAAAAGTACCGCGCATATGATATATAAATAATTATACATACATATATTTATTTATTTATT